GCAAGGAATTCTTGTTACTATATCAGGGCTATTCTGGAGGAGGGTTGTTTAAATTGGTGGTAGCCTGTATAGAAGTTACAGCAATGCAGGTAGGTGGAGGGTGGTGGGAGCTGATGAAAAGGGCTTTAGCAGGGCTCTCTAAAATGAGGAAGACACACTGGAGGTTGCAGCGAGAGACCAGAAAGACTGGGACGTCAGTGGCTGGCACAGATGGGGATCAGGTGCTATTTTGGTGAGGGTGTCAGAAAGGTGAGAATAAAGAATGATGGTCAAGATGGGCAGGAGGGAAGCAGGAGAGGGTTCCTGGGTGAAGAGCTGAGACAGACCCACAGCTCAGCAGGTGTAGTGGGTGTGTTTGAAAGGCCCCTGCAGAGATGAGGCCCCTGCAGCTGGGCATCCACAGAGGAGCCCAGTGGCTTTAATGATCGGCCTCTCTTTCCTATTCTTTCTGGAAAGAAGGGATCTCCCCTGCACTTGCTTCATCCTCCCCACTTCCTACTCTCTCTGACTTGGTACTTTACACCCCAGCCTCTGGATTTTCTTGTTTGCAGTTTGCTTTCTCTTTTCTCCAGACCTTCGAACCCATGGTTCTCCTGACCTAGAAAGCTAGCTCCACCCTCAAACCTCCTTCCTAGTGACTCCCTCTTGGCCCTCAGATTTTGCTGAGGGATAACGTCCCCTTGAAGTCCCTGCTCTGCCTTCCCAGGTTGAGTGGCTGCCATTTCTATGTTCTTCATCACACTCTGGGCTACTTCTTTTAAAGCACATATCTCAGTGCAATGGCTTGCTTACTTCTCTGACTCCATCTCTAGACGCGAGAAAAGGGATATGGTTAAATATTTCCCTAGTAAAAAAAAAAAAAAAAAAAAAAAAAAAATATTTCCCTAGTGGTCACTCAATGGCAAATAAATCAAAGGAAAACAAAGCAGAAGCCCTGAGAATCCTCTCACTTGTTGAACAAAACCATGTGCTTTTCTGTTGCCTGTGTTTTTATTTCGCACCAGGCTAGTGTCTGAAAGCAAACTCATGCCAAACAGGATTTCACTTTCTCTGAGTTAACAGGCAAAATTTGCTTTAAAGAAATATAAACACATATTTCCAAATGATAAACATTATGAAATAGTAAAAAAATATATATATATAATTTTTTTTTTTTTACTATTTCATAATGTTTATCATTTGGAAATATGTGTTTTAGGAGCAACTTTGACCTACCTCATCAGTCCAAGATTTTTGATTTATGTAAGCTGTGCCTTATCGATACGGGTAAGATGAATCAAAATGAAATTAATATATTTTGAATGGTTAAGAGAACTGTAATAGACAATTAGAATGTCTCAAAATAACTGATGCAAAATGTGTGTATATTTTTGTTAAAAAATGTTTTGAATTACAAACTCTAGCACAAATAGAGGAAAGTGCATCATGTATATATATCCATATATATATGGAACAATTATAACAAACACTTATAAAGTGAATACATGAAACCACCACTCAAGTCAAAAGCTAGGATGTAGCCAGCACCCAAGACGTCCCTCATAGGGTCCTTCTCAATTATACCCCTTCCTCACAAAGGGAAGTAGCCAGGAGCCCCACTTTTCTGGCATTTACTTCCTTGCTTTTGTTTATAGTTTCACCACGGATGTAGGCATCCCTAAATGATATAGTTGAGTTAATTTCAAGTTTAGTTTGCACTTTCCATAAATGAAGTTCTACCGTATATATTCTATTTTATCTTGCTTCTTTTGCTCAACATTATGTATGTAATCCCATGTTTTTGCAAACAGCCCTGGGTTGCTACTTTTTATTGCTGTGTAGTATTTCATTGCATAATAAACCACAGTTTATTTTATTAGTTTTTCCAAAGAGCCAGATTTTGGCTTTATTAAGCTTTTCTATTGTATGTTCATTTTCCTAGTTCATTGATTTCTTCTCTTACCTTTATTATTGCTTTTCTTCTATTTTCTTTGGGTTTAATTTGCTGTTCCTTTTCTAACTTTTTAATATAGATACTTAGCTCATTAAACTCAGCCTTTCTTTTCTAATATATGCATTTTAAACTATAAATTTCTCTTTAAACAGTATATCAATAGCATCTGACAAGTTGATATACTGACAAGTTGAAATATTTTATAATGTCCTTTCTGATTGCCAGCTTGACCTATGGATTATTTAGAAATGAATTCATTAATTTACAAACATATGAGGAATTTCTGATTTTCTTTCTTATTGATTTTAGCTTAATTGCCTTGAGGTCAGAGAACATTCTCTGTATGGTTCAGTATTTTGAAAATAAGATTTGCTCTAAGATCCATTATCTGGTCATTTTGTTGATTTGTACAAATGTTTCATGTGCTTAAAAAGCAAGTGTATTCTAAAGTTGTCAAGTACACTGTTTTTAATGTAACCTTTACGTAGAACACACACACATATATAACATATAAGATATATATAAGTGTATATTCTTACTATATATTTATATTTTTTGTTTATTTTATCAACTACCAAGAGGGAGATGGTGAGTTAAAATCTCCCACAATGATTGTCTATTTCTTCTTTTAACTCTACAGATTTTTGAGTCATATATTTTGAGCCCTTGTTATTAGGTACATACAAAATTGGAATTTTTATATCTTCCTGATCAATTAAGCCTTTATCATTATGAAATGATTCTCTTTATTTCCAGTAATCTTTTTTTGCCTTAAAGCCTACTTTTGTATCAATTCAGTGACATGGATTCTTTTCGGTTAATTATCTGTCATTTTCTTCAATCTTTCTTAGTCTTTTGTTTTAATGTGTCTCTTGTAAATAGCATCTAGCTGTATTTTTGAATCCAATTTGTCACTCTTTATCCTCTAATTTGAACATTTAGTTTATTTATACTTATTGGTAGCTTATGATATATTTACGCTAAATCTACCATGTTATTTTGTGTTTTCTATTTGTCTGGACTGTTATATGTTTCTTTTTCTCCTTTTTCATTTTTGTTCCTACCATGTTTCCCTCAGTTTGTCTTTCTGTGTTTTATTGTGGGTTTTTCTTCATACATATCTACAGTTAACTAATTTTTCTTTAATTATAACCTCCTATTGAACCTATCAATTGAATTTTAATTTCTATTGCTATATTTTTCAGTCCTAGAATTTCTCTTTAGTTCTTTTTCAAACTGACCACATCATTTTTTACAGTTTCCAATTCCCTGCTGAGATTGTCAGAATTGGCATTTATTTCTTTAAATAGAGTAAGCATTATTATTTTACAGCCTGTGTCTGGTAATTTAAATATCTGAAGTCTCAATAGGTCTGTTTCTATTGTATGTTCTTTATTGTAGATTTTGCTCATAGTGTTTCATTTCCTTATATGACTGGTTATCTTTGACTGTGTGCTGGGCATTGTGTTTTAAAATTATTATAATAAATATTAAACATACCAAAATATAAATAAATAAAAATAAAATTATTGTAGAAGTATTTTGAAGCCTAAGATGATAGTATTTTCTTTCAGAGAGGGTTTTAATGCTTCTCCCAGATGCATAGTGAGCAGTAGCCATTTTAATTCAAGCTCAAGGCTTGAGGTTTTCTGGGTCATCAGACGAGGTAACGCTGGACTACAAGTCCATGCAATGGTTAGCTTACTTGTAGTTTACTCTGACTTACCCTAAGGGTGGAGTTATAGCTCAGCCTAAAGTAAGAACTATTTTTATCTTTGTCTTTGGTGAGCATAGACTTCCATCTTCTGACTTTCTGAGGCTGCTAAAACTGCAGTTCTGTTTCACAGTTGTTTCTTCTGAATCAGCAGATACCTCAGGGTAGCCTAGGCTTAATTCTTGGGCTTCTCATGTTCTCCAAGTGTTCATCTGACATTCTCTCCTGGGCTTCTTGACTTTTTGGTGTTTTAAGATTTTAAAATAACATTCTGTTCAGTTTTTTAAAGTATAATTGTATTGCATTAAAAATTATGGGCTTCCCTGGTGGCGCAGTGGTTGAGAGTCCGCCTGCCGATGCAGGGGACACGGGTTCGTGCCCCGGTCCGGGAAGATCCCACATGCCGCGGAGTGGCTGGGCCCGTAAGCCATGGCCGCTGAGCCTGCGCGTCCGGGGCCTGTGCTCCGCAACGGGAGAGGCCACAGCAGTGAGAGGCCCGCCTACCGCAAAAAAAAAAAAAAAAAAAATGTTATACTTGTACTACATAAAAGTGTAACTTTGGACATTCTGGTTTTAAATTCTGCATATTACATGTCATTTGAGAGAAATGCATCTTTCTGGATTTTAACTTTGTTCCATCTTTTAGGTCAATGATTAAAACATGCTTTGCTTCTACTGCCTTGCAGGGAGACTGAATGTGGCACCTTGCCATATCTGTGGTCCTGATAAAATTATATGGATACAATCTTCTACTAACAGCAGTGTTTGGCTTAGTGGTAGCTGGATCTGTATTAATATTTAGGGTATTAATTGGTGATTGGATCAACAGGAAACCAAGAAAAAAAGGTAATACATATATAATGATATGGTAAATTATGACCTCACTAGCTTTTTTGGTTTACTTAGTGAAATAAAATACAGATATGAACTTAATAATGACAGGGCATAAGTTTTAAAAACTAGAAAAAGTGGTATCCAGCTTTCTGTCATTCTCTGGTACTATATTTAAAATATTTTATTGTAGTTTTTAGATATTTATCCATCACAGATTTTTAATATTAAATTCCTAAAAACATGTTTCATTTTAATACTCTGGTATTACCTATGTATAATATACTTATGTAATTTCTATTAAAGACAATTTCTATGTGTAAAAGATAACTTTTATACCAAGTAATCTGTCTAAACTGGGAATTACTATCTGGAGACTTATTTGTTCAAATGTCAATCCATTTTTAGCTTTTCCCTCTAATATCTCTTTAACCTTCCTTTACCCAAGCAGAATGTAGGATTTCCCAAGTTTTTCCAAGTCTTTTGATTACCAGTCAGCCTGATTGTTTTCATTTCACCTAGGAGGTTTGGCAAGGCATTCTCTGAAAGCACAGCACTGAAAAGGCTAACTTATTTAAAATCTGGACTCTTGGTCCTTAGGCCGTGTTGATAACTTCAGTCACAAATTAAAGAAGAGTGTGATATATCAGTAGAAAAATGTAAGTGCTTTGATTTATCTAATATCCTGCTTTTCATATCGTCTTACTCTCAAAGCATGTTTTCATTTGCTAGCAAAACCCAGCTTTTTTTTCTTCTTCTTCTTCTGGTTGTAAAGGCTTTGCCTTTAGTGAGCACACAAGCCTGCTCTTTGCTTCCTACTCAGCCTATGATTGCTGATGGGAATGATAACCCTGGTTGGCACAGGGGTTTGGTCAACTGCAGTCACTCTGCATTAAACGATGATGTAATTGTAACCTGTCTCTTAAAACCAAGAATAAATATTGTTTCCCTTTGCAGTTGGTCATGTCTTGCTCTTCACTCAGAGTGCCTCTATCACCACCGGCTGTGCGGTCCTGATGCTTGTGTTCTCATACAGAAGGGAGCCGGAGCAAGTATGGCAAGGCTGGTTCACTGTGAGTGTCTGCCATCTCCCCCCTGTGCTGTGAGAGTGAATGTCACAGGCAAGACCAGAATGCCCTTCAGTGAGTCATCTCTGGATGGCCCTGCTCACTGATCTGGGATCTGGCTAATCTTTCACCAGTGTTCTCCTTACCCCTAATTTGTTAGTCAGAGTCTAAATCTCACAGTCATGAAGGCAATAGAACAGCAGAGTCTCTGTCTGCAAGGTACAGATTAGCACTGGATCTGGTGCTACTGGGGTGGGAAGAAGAAAACGCTGAGAATAAATACAACAACATTTGGCTTCAAACCTGCATTGAACCTCTTTCTCTCAAAAGTCTTTGGGTTCATTTAGATGCTCTACAAACTGTCAGATAAGTAACTGTATGTATTACAATGGGCTGAGAAAGTCTATCCCTGGGTTCCAAACTCCGTTTACGCTCCTTCCTTCAGTGGTCTGCTTCACAGCTGTGATCACCCTGGCAGCCCTGGCGAACCTGGCCAGCACAGCACTGACCAACACCATTCAGAAGGACTGGATTGTAAGCCTCACAGGTGACAACAGAGGCCAGCTGGCTGGTGAGCTGTGGATATAACAGGGCATCACATGTTCTCTAATCTGCTGAGAAGTAGACCTGATTTAGTGAACAGAGTTGGTGAGACAATTAGCGCTCCGAGAAAGGCAGGAAAGTAGCCTTTAATAGAAGGTATTTGGAGTCAAAGAGACCTGCATTTGAATGCAGCTAAAACCAGCTATGGCTCTTACCAGCTACAAGTTACTTAACTTCTCTAGACTTTACTGTCCTCATCTGTAGAATGAGAGAAATTATGACAACCCCCCACCTTGCCGCCAGCTCACTTTTGGGAAGGATTATGTGACATACAGGATTTGTAAAGCACTTAGCACTATATCTGCACATGGGAAGCATGTAAGAAATGGATGAGACTGTTATTATCAGAAGAATATATAGACCATACTTTCGGGAGAGAAATCCCTCTGAATATATTACAGAGGTTCTTTGGTCATTTTAGATTTGAAAAATAAGTGAATTAAAAGATTTCTTAATTTTTGTCTGTGATAAGCTTCTACTTTCCCCAGAAAATTTATCCCCAAGTGTGACTTGATTATTACCTAATCACTAGTAATGAGAGGTAGAATCATTTTTTTCAATAATGGAGCTAAATGGAAGAATCTGGCATCTTTTTATTTTTTCTTCCATTTATAAAACTTGGATCATTTTCATTGTGAGATATTCAAATTGCCAAACTAAAGCAGGAGATCTTGTCTTACCCTATATTTGTGCAGTTGGTACTCTTGGCTAGAAAACGTTCATGAGAGTTGATAGCCAAGATAAAGGAAGCTATTACAGAGGACTCTATTAAAATATACTCCTTACAAAGTGTAGAAGCCCCTTATAATCATGTTTTCTTCTAAACTACACTTATTTGGATGTACTGTGGCTTAAATAACAACACCCAAAATAAAACAGCTATGTGGGTACAAGCCAGGTGACATGGTGTTGAAAGTGTCCTGTCTCTGGGTAAAAGAAAATCTTCCTGCTTGCTGTTAATTAATTTTAAAGAAATCTAAAATAAAGCACAGATTCAGATCTGAGGTTTATTCTAATTTTAAAAATCATCTTGTAAATATGTTCTTTAATGATGGTGGAATAGTTAAGAGAATAAGCTTTAGGGTCAGACTGCCTAGGTTTGAATCTCTGCTCCACCATTTACCTTCCCTGTGACCTTAATTAATTTCACTTCTTTATGTCTCAGTTTCTTAATTTGTAAAAGGGAGATACTATGGACCCCTTAGAGTTGTTGCGAGGGTTGAGTGAGATGAATATGTGTAGAAGGCTTAGAACTATGCGTGTGGCAAAGAGTATTCAACTATTTCTGTCCTTCGTCCCCTGTTTTTTCCCTCTCTGTCCTGTCAACGTGTGAGTCATAATGGCTATTAATACTATTGTTGTTCGGACGGTGGGATGTGATAGAAAGAGTGCTGAGACAGGAGTTGGAATAATTCCAAGTTACCTAATCTCTCTAGCCCTCAGTTTACTCCTTGGTTAATTGTTCAAATTCCAACAGAACTGATCTCAAAGGTCTTTTCCAGGTTGAAAATCCTATGATTAATCTATAGTCAGACTAAAAGGGATCTTTCCTGTTTTCACTGCCATTCACCCAGTGCGGGCTCGCAAATCTAGCAAATACACGACATTAAATTCACCAGGAGGAGAGACTCATGCACTGAGTTGCAGTGTTTCCGTCCTGTCACTTACAGGGATGAATGCAGCTGTCTGGCGGCTGGACCAGATCATCAATATCTGCTCCCCTGTTCATGGGCCAGGTGATGACATGGGCATCTCATGTGATCGGTTGTGGTTTCATTCTTGGATGGAGCTTGGTTTCACTTCTTGTTGAGTTTCTATTTCTATCCAGGGTTTTTCAACTAGTTCCCCAATTGGCTGTAAAACCCCAGCGACAAACGGGGGCACTTCCTAGAAAGGCGACAGGAGGCTGTGAACATTCAAGGCAATGCAAACTCAGAGACAGCGCTTGCTTTTTTTTTTTTCCCCTCCTTTATGTCAATGCTTCATTTCTGCTTTTCAGAGCTTGTGTCTAACTATAATCTTAATATTCTGTCTGCAAATGTGCCTCAAACAGTGAGAAGTGAGAAGACTCCAATAGTGCCATTTGTTATTCAGTTCATATGGTTGGTGGAAGCAGGGGGGTCTGCCATGTACAGTTACACAGATTGTACACTACACAACTCCAGGGGCTCCATTAAGTGAGTTTCCACTGTGAGTAGCACTCCCTGGGGACCGTGCAGTTTACAGCCTGCAAAACCTATTCCATGGTCCTTAGGGCATACTCCTTCCTATTTTATCATAAGCCTCTTTCCTAAAGACGCTAAACTAGAGAGACAACTATGTCAGGGAATATGGGCTGTGTTTTGGTCAAGACAATAGATAAATTGGCCATCCCTGCTATCAGCAGTGTTTTTTAAATCAGAAATTGCTTATCATCAGGATGAGGATGACAGAAAAGTAAACCTGCCAGTAAATATGACCCCATTCTCTCAAGATAAGAGCTATACCTGCCTACTGACAATGTTGCCCATCTGCCTGGGCAACACAGCCCAGGCATTGCTTCTGACCTCAGTTTCTCTTTCTAGAATTCTTTCTTTTTTTTTTTGGATTGGTATATCTCTGAAAATGGATGCTCACTTTATTTATGGTTATTTTTACCTATTACTTTATTTTAAGCATGAGAATTTTAAAGAGAAATGTAATACAGTACCAAATGGGAGAACAATCATGGAAAAAATACAGCCAGTCGACTAATAATTTTTCAAAAATTGTATCTTTAAGCAATTTTGCTTTATTGTTGATTATGTGAAACTAAGTTGCAAATCACAGACATTTCAGGTAAGCACAGAAGTTGAGTTGGTAAAGTCAGTTTCAAACAAAAGCTAAGTTTAAGACAAATGAAAATGAAATCATATTTTTATCTCAATCAATAAACTCAAGAATCCTAAAAACAAATAGAGATGAGGGTCTTGCAGTTGTGATGTCTAATACTGTACTGAAAGCTAGGGTTGATTTTCCCAATTTGGCCAGTTTAGATAGCTTCCCATTATTCCCACATTCTTGATCCATGGTCCCCAAATTGTGCTCTTAAGTGACAAGAAAAATCCTCCTTCTTGATGGTCTCCTGTCAGGCATGATTGAGTAAGCCTGGTATTGACACCTGACTTAAACTGGACAAGTGAGATTATCACTTTGGATAGTTGTAATTAAGATGAGGAAATTCTAATTCAGTTTGGTATAGTTTCTTGAGGAAAGATGGGTAGGCTTCTTTTACCGACTGTCCAGAACTCCAGAACTCCACACTCCGAGGCCCCCCTCAGGCTGTGATGCCTCTCCTCCTGCTGTGCAGGTCCTGGACTTCTTATAATTATATTTTCTCTCAAGTTGTTTTGCAATTAAAGCTCACCAGATCTCACTGTATGGATAAAATATAAGTATTCATAGATATAGGTGAATAGATATACATATTTAAGTGATGGATGGATGGATAGATAGGTAAATAGATAGATAGATAGATAGGACGAGCTATATCTTCCCATCTATAACTTTTAGTTGTGTGACCATGTATGGCTAATTTATTCAAATTCGCTGTGTCTCACTATCTGTAAAGTAAGGATAAAAATAACAGAACTGATGGCAGGGAAGGGATTAGATAAGATAGTCTACATAAAGCCCTAGGGAAGCGATTAGATAAGTTAGTCTACATAAAGCCCTATTTCCTTCTGCATAGAGTAGAACTTAAGGCAATGTTGGCTGTTTTTTTCATTGTTATTGTTATCTTTACAAAAAAACCCTGCTATGGCAATAAATTCTTTTCTATAACCAAATTCACCCTTCCCACAGTTCTTGGGCTAGAGTGGATTTAGCATACCTGACCCTCTCTCCTTCCTTCATGGCCTTATTTGGCTCTTCTAGTCCTTTTTGGAGTTTGTCTTAATTTGTGCTAAATACTTCTTACAACTTGTTATGTACTTTAAAAATCTGTTTGCAATCATTGCCTATTCTGTCCTGGAAGATGGAAAGGTATTTGTCATTTCCTTTTCATGAATATCTGCTTCTTCAGAAAAATAACCAGAGGAAATATCCACCACTCTTTCCGAGAGTTCATTACCACATCTCAAGCATGTGCAGTTTTGTCTTTTACTCTCTCCCGTGTCTTCCCTCTCCTGTCAATGTCCACCTTCCTGAATTTACTGTTTGTCTTAGTCTGGGTTCTTTCAAGAGCAATTCTGGGACTTCCCTTACATCTCCATCACCTTGCTCTTCTTGGGTGTGATCCTGGCAGGAATTGTGAGCGGTGGGTCATGTGTGGCACAGGATTCTGCAGCCTGTGATGTTGCTAAGTAATCGTAGAAGCATTTCATGGTCTCACCACTGTGTCATTGTCAGTCTTCATCATTCATTCACTAAGAACCCATTATGTGACAAGAACTGTCCTAGACACTGGGGATACATGAGTGGTTTAATCAGACAAGGTCTTAGCCCCACTGAGTGTACAGTTTGGATGGGAGACCAAAGAGTGAGTAAATAGCAATGACCAACAACACAAAGTGACAGGAGCTATGTTAAAGAAGGACAGAGGATTGGAGACACATAGGAGGGATCCCAAATCTGGTCTTGGGAGCCGGGGAAGCCTTTCCAGTGGGAGGCACAATTAAGAGATCCCTGAAGGGCAAGCTCGGCAGGTGACATGAAGAGGGAAGAGTGCTCTAGGCGGGGTGGGAAGTTGTGCAAAAGCCAAAATGTGGAGATGTGGAGATCTGGGGAAGTGAAAATAGTTATTTCTAGGAGTCAAGCATGTAAATGCTACAAATGGCATCCACGTTGAAGGAATATTTTGACCTGGGTCTTTTCCCCGCGGAAGTGGGATGGGGAGAGGGGAAAGAAGACAGCTTGGTGGCGCCAGAGCTTTCCTTAGCTGCCTGGGAAAGGGGAGGGAAATCCTTTCCCAGAGACAGGGTGCCTGACTCTGAACATCTGCAAGCTTGTCTCCCCTGAGAACTTGGTCTTGGAACTCTGCCACCAACCAAATGTCATTCATACCTGGCAGTGAGGACATATACGATTTGGTTAGGGTGTTTAAAAAACTGTTTTGGGGGCTTCCCTGGTGGCGCAGTGGTTGAGAGTCCGCTTGCCGATGCAGGGGACACGGGTTCGTGCACCGGTCCGGGAAGATCCCACATGCCGCGGAGCGGCTGGGCCCGTGAGCCATGGCTGCTGAGCCTGCGCGTCCGGAGCCTGTGCTCCGCAACGGGAGAGGCCACAGCAGTGAGAGGCCCGCGTACAGCAAAAAAAAAAAAAAAAAACTGTTTTGGTCATTTTATGCCTGATGAATTCAGCAGCAACATATTGGGTATCAACACTGATGGGGATTAACAGCATATTGGCCCCGAGTGATTCGACCTGCAGATGCCCAGTCTGGGAAGAGTCTGGACCTTGCTCTTAGACATGGACTCCCTGTGATCCGGTTTCCACCCAGGAGCATCATTTCTTTGCCCAAGCCCTGCTCCCTCCCCTCAGTCCAACCTCAAGGCCACAGCTCAGAGCCAGGGGATCCCCCATCCCCAGAGCAAAAATGAGGGAGCGGAGAGTGTCGTGGCGGGTGGTGGAAGGAGAGGATCAAAGGCTGAACCGACCGTGTCTTCCCCCTTCATTCAGCATCTCCCTGCCTGCCTCTGCTGTGAACCTCAGCCCCGACTCCAGGTGTTGGGCTCCTGCAAGGTCCCTGCCCTCCTGGGGCTCAGAGCTTCCCCTTCTCACCCTTGGGCCCACAGCGGGGTGGGGGCATGGGGTTTGGGGATACCTTTCTGCTTTATATCAAGGAGACCCAGAAGCCCTTGGTCCACAGAATCTTGGGAATATTGGGAGAGGAGAAATGAGAGTTTTGTCAGTCCAATTCCAGAGGTTATAAAACCACGGGCTAGCTTGGGAACCTCTTTCCTCTGATGTAATGTGCATGTATGAGAAAGGAACTGTTCCTAATTCCAAATAGCTGATTTAGAAACCTGTTCTTTCATCTGGAGATGACCCAACCTCTAAAATATTTTAAATGAAGGACCTGACAGGTGAATTATCTTTTATTAGGCTATTTGACTTGTACTTCCCAGCCTTTAATTGCATGAACGACAGAGAGCAGGTTGGCCGTTTAAGATTTACACAATTCACATAGTATTATGATAATAAACTAGTTCTAAGGGGGGAAAAAAAAGAATTCCAACTGGCTCTTCCTGACACAAAGGAAACATCACATTTAGAGAACGTGAAATCTCATTGGCAATGCCTACAGTCTGGAGAAGCATTCAGTACGAGAGAAACTTCGGGCTTTTCTCTATGGCAATAGCAGTTCTTTTTGCTGACCCTTGATAAGGATGCCAGACACACCACAACACCTTTGACACTCACAAGGGAGACAGCTCAGGATGTGGAGCCAGGCTGCCCATGATGTTCGCACGTTACCTAAGCTCCCTGTGTCCCTGTTTCCTTGTCTGTAAGACGGGATAGTAATGATAGTACCTACCCATCAGGGAGAGTGTCGTGGCGGGTGGTGGAAGGAGAGGATCAAAGCCACAGGTATTGGAGCTACTTGTTAAAAATGAATATTAACTCTCATCTTCAGTTGTCATCATCATTTTTATATCTTCGCTGTGACTGTGGTGCTTTCACGAGCGTTGTTGTGTGAGCGTGGAGTGTGGTGTGGACAGTGAGATCAAGAACCACGATGCCGAGTGACACGGATGCTGACTGAATCCCGCACACCCACTGCCAGCGAATGCCATTCACATTTATTCCCAGCAGAATTACAAATCACTCCAGGGTTGGTGGTGTGGTCAAGACTGTACCCGATAAAAGTACCAGTGCCCCCAAAGGATATAGTATCATCCCTGTGTTAGCGTGGTTAGCATGGTCAGGCCTGGTGGCCGTGATGACGTGTGTCTCACCAGGACCAGTGGCCTGTGGCCACCTTGCTGTCTACCACAGATCCCCAGACACAGAGCTCACCCGAGACATTGGCTCAGTATATACTTGTTTCCATTCTTAGTGGAAAGGAAGTTACAGGGCTACAGCAGGATTTGACATATTACCCCAAAGTCATTTTGCTTTTGAAAATCTAAGAACTACGACTCCGTATGCCCTCAATATACAAATAATTCTGTCAGTGCAGAATCAGCCCTCACTTCCAGAGCTGCACATTGTGCAACTGCAGCGTTTTATAAATACCTCTGACCTGTCTGCACTGCTTGTTAGGGGCCAGGCATGTGGGTTTTATAGGTGAGCTCCAGGTCAGAGTCCTTTGGCAGACCAAACCCTGAGGCTTCGAGGCCATGCCGGGTGGTTGGGACGGCCCAGAAGAGTGGGGAGCCTGGGCCAGGGTCCCAGGTGCGGGCTACCGCAGGGTGACAAGGGCAGCCTAGGAGGACAGAAGGCCTGGCCAATGCTCTGCAAAGGCAGACACTGGAGGACACGGCATATTCAACCCAAATAATTCTTGAGTTCAGAGCTCAGTCCAGAGATCAGGACAGAGGCACACGAGAGGCCTCTGCAGGGCCAGCGCTGGATCTCAGGGAGAATCCAGAAGGAAACCAACTATAGGCAGAAGCTGGGAGCAGGCACAAGAGCCCCCGGGACTGGCCCTCAAGGACAGCATTGCCACCTGGTTTCTGACTTCTGTGGTGCCTGTACGGCAGGTCCTGAGGCTGCTTCTGAAGTGTAATCAAATGTAGCCTCTTAATGTGGTTAAAGGTGGGGGAGGGGAGAGGAAGCTCATTCCTCCTCTGCCAGATCAGGAGGGAGGAGGAAACACGCGGAACTGGAGCAGGAGGTGAAGCTCAAGACTTTGCTCTCTGTCCGAACCATTTTTGGAGTGGAATGGAGACATAAATAGATACATCTAAAATGAAGTTATATGGCTACCTAGTGATAATGGTGGCGATGGTGATTCAAAAATACAATTTACACTACCACAAATTATTGACCGTGCCAGGCATGATGCTGCCCACTTCACAGTACCGTCTCATGTAATCCTCCAGTGAGATGGGATCTAAAGAGTCCCATTTCACAGCTGAGAAACTGAGCCGCCGAAAGCTTCATTTACCCAGCATGACCGTGCCAGTCAGTGCAACAGCCAGAATCCTCCCCGAGGTCTCTGACATCTCTTTCCATTTCTTCTCCCCCGACACTGCTGCCCTGTAGGTCTTTGGTCCTTTGACCTCACTGTGACCCAGCTTCTTCAGGAGAACATTCTGGAAACAGAGTGAGGGGCTGTGAACGGTGTGCAGTGTTCCCTGAACTACCTCACGGACCTCATCCACTTCGTCCTGGTCACGCTGGCCCCGCAGCGTGTTCGGCATGCTGGTCTTCACCTCCGTCCTGTTTGTGCTGTATTTTTTTAACGCAAGGAAGTGTAAGGTTACAAATGCCCATGCTCAGAAGACAGCGAAGAAGAGCACTTCAACCTGAGAGGTAGGCAGCACCTCTGACCACTCAGAGCCTTACTAACACTGGCCCCATCTCACTGTTTCCAGTGATTTCCCCCGAGTTGCTACTGGGTGCTTACGTTGTTCCACTGCTACATTTGAGAGCAATTATGTCACCATCACCTTTGACAATAGCATCAACTGCTTTAAATGCATCTTTGGGGCGATGGCTACTAGCCAGAGTTTGACTGGGGTCTGACTCATGGCATGCCCATTAACAACTCAGATTCCACTCCAGATAACTTGAAGGGGCTTGTTTTAATTTTGCCAACACAATTCAACGTTTTCAGGTTTTTATTGTTCTTTGGGTTCTAAAATTAGGCAGGATCTTCTGGTCAGTATTAAAATTAGAGTTAGATCACGGTCAGTGATGTTTGGTCTCAGTTCCTTGGGTTTTTGTTCTACAGCTGGTTTGTGAACGTCCTTTTGATGGGCTGTGTGCCCCTCACAAGGACTGAAGCTATCTGTTGAATTCAATCATGGTAACAACCTTTGGGTGGTTTCTGGGGTCTAGCGTCAGGCCATGGATCTGAGGATCCCTCAGCTGACTTGGGCAGGCTTCGTCTCAGCAATCAAGCTAAGACATCCAGTTTGAGCATCTCTGATTAAGAAAACCACTAGTTTGTGATGAGTAAAATTTGAGTTTCTGGCTGCTTAGAAGCAATCAATCAACACTAAAACTATCTTCTGGGGAGCCTAGAAAACCCATATAGCTCTTTGCTTTAAATAATGAATTGCTTCTTTGTAAATGCTGTGGAACAAAAATTCACTTAGCAGTGAGAACAATGAGGCTAGCAATGAAGGCTCCTCGGGCCTCAAAGTACAGAGAACCTTTCTGGGGGTCGTGGGGGAGTCACATTTGGGGAATAGCCTGTAGCACACTCAGTACCACCTTAGCAGGTTGGTGCTGTTGAGAATGATTTTCTAAGACAGGGTTTCTCAAGCTCTGCGCTATTGACATTTTGGATTAGATACTCCTTTGGTGTCGAGGCTGTCCTGTGCATTGTAGGACACTCTGCAGCATCTCTGGTCTCTACCCACTAGATGGAGGGAGCAGCCCCCAACCACACACTTGTGAGAATCAAAGGTGTCTTCAGACGTTACCCAGTGTCCCCAGGGAGGGTAAAATACTCCTCCCCCCATACCCCCTCTTAAGAACCACTGCTTAAAGGAAACGTGAAACCTAAAGGAAAAAATCCACCTATTGTTAAAAGACAAAAATGACCAAAAGTCATTCATAGTAAGGAAATTACAAAAGGGAATTTTACACAGACCTGCTTCTTAGAGCTGAGTTGAGTGAAAACAAGGGAAGGAGAGAATTTTGTGAACATTTTGCTTAACATAAGGTACTTCGAAAAAAATTGTGCTGTATATAAGTTCTGGTACTACTTATGGTGCCACCTCCCCCAATCTTTCCTTTTCCAAGAAAAAATCTGAAAGGCTACGTTACTACACACACACACACACACACACACACACACACACACACACACACAACCAACTAGGTCGGGAAACCAGAACTGTTCCTCACATAAATTCTTCACTAAGGAGACTGTATTTTGAGGAGGTAGCACATCACGTCTCCTGGCCCTTGATTATCCCAATGAACACACAAGTACTTGCACAGGCGAGTCTCGGAACAAGTGTTTAATAAATCCATCCTGAAGTCTTTTATTTAAAACCTCCAGAAGTGCTAGCAGCTTGAGTGTAGAATTTATGTCAAGTCTTCTATGTAGAATTTATGTCAAGTCTTCTAAGTACCACTGGCTCCCTACACCTGCACCTCCTGCCCTTGAAAAATTAGCTGCTTACCTGTAAATTCTGCATTTTAAGCGCAAATTTTACTCTTGCTTTTCCTCCAGGCCTTGTATAGTAGGACAGCAACATGTTTATATTGGATCGTGGAATGACTATCTCCATGTTTCCATGAATATTTCATGTTTTAGACCAGTACTACCCAACAGAAATATAATGCAAATCACATTTATATAATTTTAATAATATATTTCTAAAATATTATCATTTAACTTGTAATCAATATAAAACTGAGATTTTACATTCTTTTTATTGAAGTATAGTTGATTTATAGTATTGTGTTAGGTCCAGGTATATAACATAGTGACTCGGTATTTTTGCAGATTTTATTCCACTCTAGGTTACTATAAGATAATGGGTATAATTTCCTGTGCTATACAGTATATCTTTGTTGCTTATCTATTTTACATATAGCAACTTGTATCTGTTAATCCCATACACTTAATTTGTCCCTTCCCACTTCCTTCTCCCCTTTGGTAACCACAAGTTTTGTTTTCTATATCTGTGGAATCTAAAAAATAATACAAATGATTGTAGATGCATCTTTAAAAAATATTAATTCTTCCAAAGCTGATGTTTCTTACACCTCAGCACGTCAGTTTGCACTAGATACATTTCAAGCGCTCAATAGCCACATGTGGCTAGTGGCTACTGTACTGGAGTACAGTTTGGGAATCATCTGTGATGATTCCCAAAGTTCCACATATTTCTCCACTATAGGAAGCCTATAAATGATACAATGGGCTCTCTTCTGCCGGGGAGTGGGGGTAACATGCCAGAGCATTTGTCCAACTGGAAAATCATTCCATCAACTACAACATTCTGATCTGTTTTCCAGAAACAAATCATGGTGACATACATCAACCTGAACTGACTGGATTTTGTCTGTTTACCTCTGAAACAGATTGATGTGCAGCTGTTCTGGAAATGCAGATGGCAACTGGGAAGGGTACCTCAAGATAATTGGCCCTTGCCGTACAGACAAACTCAAGCAGGGGGCTTTCTAGCCGTGGTTGCATAGTCCCAGATAAGTCACAATTTTATAACAAAATATCAGAATCAGAACTTTTCAGTTTATGAACACAAGGTAAATTTTGGAAAGGCAATCCTTATGAGTACAAAATTAAAATAAGCCTTTCATACACATCTCTGGCTGTTTATTTGTTCTCAACATGGCTTTCCTCTTGAGGTGTTATCCCTGACCTTGGCTCACAGGGGTCACTGGTTGACTGACCTTACTACCCTGGTCAAATGCCTCAGTCTTTACTATCTCTAGATCCCCCTGTTTCGTTATCTGGACACCTTCTCTGTTCTACTTCTTCCTTCAAGGTACTTCAGATCATGAGGGAGAAAAAGCATCTTCTCACTTGGGTTCCAGGGAGCCTAGAAGGTAAATGACCCTGCCCCCTCCACCTTGTCCATTTAAAATTTATATTCAAGTGCCAAATGACAAATTTGCCAACCGGATTTCCTCTGGCTCCTAGGAAGCTCAGAGCCAAACTGGCGGGAGCCTAAAGCATGAGGTCTAATGGTTTGGTTTTATACCCTGCTCTCTTCTTGCTGAGCTTTTATTCCCTCCTCTAATTATTGTACTGTTTGCCATTTGTTTATAAGCCACCCCAAGTCATTCTGGGAATGTGGTGGGGGTATACATAGATATAATAGTCTCTTTATAGTCTGTCCTAACAATTGAATCTTTCAGATATTGACTCAGATACTGAGTGAAGTTATTCCTTAAAAGAGAAGTTGAGGGAGGCACATTCTAACCAGCTTCATCTTACAAAGTGTCACAGATAAACCACACTGTGTAAGTTCCATAAAGGCAGGAATCATCCATCACAGGACTTAACACACAAGGGAAACATAGTAGATATTTACCAAATTATATAAATATTTGTTTGTGGAACCTCAAAAAAAAATACATACCTTAGTTTGGAATATTCTCTTGAACTATGAAGACCTGTTTTTTTAAAAGATATTTATTTATTTAATCGCACAGGGTCTTAGTTGTGGCATGTGAACTCTTAGTTGCAGTATGCATGTGGGATCTAATTCCCTGACCAGGGATCGAACCCGGGTATCCTGCATTGGGAGTGCGGAGTCTTATCCACTGCACCAGCAGGGAAGTCCCAAGCCCTGCTTGCTTTTAAGAAAGAAAAACTACTTGTCTTTAAAAATGGAGTATGCACATTCCTGAATCTAATTATATGACTCAATCTACCTGAACTGACATAGCGATGGCACTACTGCCAATACCAGGCAAGTCACATCTGGGGAGGTTAGTGACTGGAGTTCTTACATAAGATTTGACATTTTCAGTGAAACCATAACCATTGAATAGAATTATATTCCAATCACATTTTCTTTTATAGTCATAAAGATTCTCTTCATGACCATAACTCCTCCCTTGGAACTAATAAATCCTCTGAAAACTTTTCATTCAGCTCCAGATTTGCTTCACTTCTCCTCTTTTGCACCTGAGCACAAAAGAATGGCCTGGTAATTTTAATAGTCCTGCTGGCCATCTTTTCACTCTTGCTTTAGCTCTTCTCAACATGCAGGCATGTGCTATGCCAAGGAGGGCAAGCTGACTGCAGCCCTGGGACTGGCTGCAACTCACTTTGGTGACCCTGGGCTGTACTTAATCAAGGTGCTAGATAACTCTGTATTGCCACAGTACAGGGAAGGGAGTTGGGGGGAGATGGAACAGGTTAGGTACCACACCTGGAAGCACAAGGAGGCATCTGAAGGCACTGCTTCATCCTACAGGCAAGATGGCCCAAGGGTGGCCCATCGTTCTTTTTTTTTTTTTTTAAGGAAATAACATCTTACTTAATTGTTTATTGCTTTAATTTTTTTTTTTTGGCCACACTGCGCAGTATGTGGAACTTCCCCAACCAGGGATCGAACCAGTGTCCCCTGCGGTGGAAGCTCAGAGCCTCAACCACTGGACCACCAGGGAAGTCCCCATCCCTCTTTTCAAAAACACCCTTGAATATCCCCGGAGAAAAAGTAATCCATGTGACTTATGCATCAAGCTTTGAGATTAACCCAAACCCAATTACTCAGCACCTAGAACCTCACTTACTCCTTAATTCTCTCACTTAATTCCCTGTTTTAGCCAGTATCGGCCAAAGCCGTTCTAAATTTTGTTGGGTAACAATTTTCTCACTTCATTTTCTGCTACCATATCGCCACTAGTATACATTGTCAAGAGATGCAGAGAAAAGTGCCAGACCGCTCACATCCTGCCAAATGGATTGAAAATGCAGCTGTTAAGACAATGAGCATGTGCTGTTGCCTGAACCATCCATAGAGAGAACCTGTGCACCCTTGATAGGGGAGGATATACACTGATTGTTTCTTGAGTATTTACTTGTGCACGAGTCACTTACATGACCCCAAGGTAATTTGGATGTTTTTGCCACTCTAATCTCAGTAAATCATTCAATTACTGACCTAAGACTGTCTTCCCACAGATTTCATTGGAAATGTCATTAAGATGCCAGAAAGGGTAAGTTTTTAAGGCCATGTTTATTGAAGTTGAATTTACATTCAGTAAAACTCACTCCAAAATTTGACAAAGGCAAACAGCACCATAATCAAAGTGTAGAGCAGTTCTTCAACACCCACCCCCGACCAAACCCTATGCAACAAACTCCTCCCTGATCCTTAGGAATCCACTGCTCTGTCAAAGGGGTCAAACTTAATCATCAAAATAATCTATTATAGGAAAAACTGTAAGCACAAAAAAACAAGTCTTTAAAAGGATACTTTGAAACATACAATGTTTAGAATAGTTAAAAGTATGGGATTTAGAACTAACCTTTGTAAATTCAAGTAGCTGACAGTTTTCTTAAGATAGCTGTATTGATAGAATAGCTAGTCTAGTTACTATGTTGAGCTGCAGGCTGGGGCTGGCTGGCAGAAAAATGATTTTAAATAGTTTAAATGGAGTTGAATTCTACAGAAATTCTCTATGGGGCAGATATATGTTCTTGCAGATATTTGGCACCTTTTCAAAAGTCCTCCCCTGCTACCACCATGAAAGGGACAGTAAGCAAAAACCTCTATCCTGTATATATCAATCGTCACATGTTCAAATACACCTTGTCTCCTCGAAAAGCTTTCAAGCACCAGCCCTGTAAGAGAAGTATCACAGTAGGTAATTAGAGCAGCAATTACTAAATAAGATGCTATTAAGAAAATACAGTGTCTAGACTATGTTCACAAAAGCAGTGCAGGTTAAGGAAAATGAATTCCCCAATGTACTACACATTGTCAACACAGGCATAGTAATGTTCTGACATAAAAATGAAAAAAAAATTTTTTTTCAACTCAAAATCCTATTTTACTAATGCTAGCAATTCACCCTCTGCCTCTGGAAGATTCTAACTCAAAATGGCCACCATTGCCAAAGATAAACATCTTGAAAGATTAGATGCCAATCACTTAAAAATCCTCCCCCCCCCCCGCAACAACCTTTTTCTGGGCATAATAAATTATTACCTATTTACTAGAGCCCCCCACCACCATTTTATTTAAAACATACTTTTTAAAGGTGGGGAGGGGTGTGATTGTACTTAATAAATTCCTACCTATCAAGTTGGCCTCAGGTAAATCCTTTAACCCATCAGAGCAGGATATCCAATCAGATTAGAGTTCTCATCCTTGGCCAAGAATTCTATTCGTATTTATTAACTCAAGCCAAATTCTTTCCATTTGGTCCATACCTGTTTGCCAGCATCTTGAACTGGACTGAGCCTGGTAGGAAATTGAGAAAAACAATGTTAAGAATATTATATGCTAACTTTTTATGGTTTTGTGTGTGTGTATATGTGTGTGTTTGGTAAAGAGTCTTTTATTGGGCTACCTACCAGCTACCTTTGATGAATAAAAAGCTACCTTTAAGTAGAGTTCCTTTAAAACAGCTACATTCTCCAAACTTCCTGACACTGGGAATCTCCTGTCATTTCCAGCCAGGAGTAAAATAAGTAGTGAACTAAGTGCCAATACTCTGGGAATCCATTTTACAGAAAGCCAGCAGTCACCAACCTTCCAATCTCCCTGTTACAGTTGCATGGAACATTATCAATTTGGAAAAAATAAACATTACTAGCAACAGTATTTACCTAGGAAAGAGGGAAATAAACTTTAACATTAAAAAAAACCAAAGGAAGCCTGAGACTTGCTTACCCAGAGGCAGAGCCCAGGGAGTGTACAACAGTCCTCAGCACTTGCTCAGTTTCCAGTCCTTAAACAGACACTGGCTCAGGCTGCTGCTTCCTTGACCTGCTGCCTGGCTCTCTCAGCCCATGTCCCTCTCCCAGAGGCAACCATTTGGCTCAGCAGGAATCCCCAACATCTAAACCAATTGTAAGACAAAGCCTGAGCACTGCATTTCTCTCTGTGGTAGTGCCATTCACCAGAGATCCAGGTAGTCGGGGCAGGGAAAACTGTGTGCTCCCACCCCATATATATGGCTGGAAAGGGGGTGCCTAGGACAGTTTGCAACGCTGCTCCTTGTTTCCTCTTTAAAAGCAGGATAAAATTGATGTCCCATTTGGTTTCCTAATTAGTAAAATAAGTTATTTTCTGATCAGTAAAAGGGTCTTTCACCACTGAGGCAAATATGTAAAACACCCCACAAGCCTCACATTTCAAGAGAAGATTACTAAGCGGTACCAATGATACCTATAACGATTCCTTCATTTCATTCGCTCAACTCTAAATTTAGATCTCTACAAATTTTATGGAATTTAGAGAGTAATCCTTTCTATAGGAACGTATAGCAGTAAAACACAGTAAAAATGCCCACTGATGCCGAAGAGAGCCACACCGAAACTTAGAAACTCTTTTTTCAGACAAACTTTCTCTAGGGCAACCCTTCCTCTTTATCTTGGCGGACACAAAACCCCAACAGTGCCGACTTTTTCCCAGGACAGACAACCATGACGAGCCTCACAGCCTGAAAATGTTGGAAGAGGGTCCCCTGCTGCATAACGCACTGTCAGTCCTGAAAAGTTCGGGGAGAAAATTGCTCCCTCATTAAGGCTCACAGTAGTTAACCGCTTCCGCAAGACTCAACGCCAGACCTTTTAAAGAGCCCAACCGCCGGGAGAAGTGGCAACTGGAAGGCACTTGTGGCAGGGGAGTGTCTGTGTGGGCGAAATTCCCTCCGTTTCTCGCCAACACCGGAATTAACACTGCTCTGCTCTGAAGCTTAAAAGTGTTTCAGGCTTGTGATCTTAACCCGCTTCCTAAACTGGCCGTTCCGGGGTCGTCAGAGCCACCGGGCGGGCGGGGGCCCCCGCGTGCGCCTAGAACACGGACACCGTCCCGGGCTCTGCGCCTCCGTCCTCGGTCAGTTTCATTCTCGAAGTTTTGTTTGTTGTTTTCTTTTTTCATTGCAAAGGAGCTTGAAGCTCCCTGTGGCCTGGATCCCTTGGGCGTCGGGGTCACAGGTACAGAAGGTGCCGGGCGCCTCGGTCCCTGGGAGGAAAAGGGGGTCTTTAGGCGCCAGGAGGGTCATTCCCGGGGAGGAAGGGTCCCCGGCACACTGAGGACGTCCCCGCCCCAGAGGGGCCCTCACAGGAGCTCCCCTGGGGGCTGGGAGGCCTCTCCCGAGGGGGTGCCGAGCTCCGCCCCGACGAAGCGGGCCCGGGGACAGGAGGGGCGCGCGCGCCCGGTAAGTGCCACTGGAGAGACCCCCAGGCCACGTGGCGGGCTCTAACGTCGAGCTGGTTGGAAACCACTTACCGAGTCGTGCGCCGAGGCCGAAAAGGGAGGGGAAGGGAGAGACCCAGTTTAAGAGGGGCCTGGGCGGTCAGCACCCAGCGGCAGCCAACCAAAAAGTTGCCCCAGCGCCCCGCCCGGCTCGGGACCCGGCCCAGCACCAGGCCCAGCACCCGCCCCGCCAGCGGCGCGCGGAGGCCCTCGCGCGTCCCCTGCCGGCGGCCTGGGGCAAGCGGGGCAGGCGGCGGCCGCCCGCGTCAACCCTAGCTCGGGCCTCGGGCCGACCGACCGAACTTTCGCCTCAGAGCCCTTCCTAAGCGTGGTGTCCATTTACCTCGCGGCAGGTTCGACGGAGCTCCTGGCACCCTAGTAATGTTAGATATTTATGCCCGTCTCCCCTTTCCCCACCTCAAGTATCCCATGTTCTCCCCCAGGGGGGTCTGCAAGCCACTAGAAGTCCCCAGCCTTGCTTTTTTTAAAAAAACTATTTTTTAAAATGAATTTATTTATTTTTGGCTGCGTCGGGTCTTCGTTGTTGCACGTGGGGTGGGCTTTCTCTAGTTGCGGGGCGCGGGGGCTACTCTTTGTTGCCTTGCGCGGGCTTCTCACTGCGGTGGCTTCTCTTGTTGCAGAGCTCGGGCTCTAGGCGCGCGGGCTTCAGTAATTGTGACTCGCGGGCTCTAGAGGGCAGGCTTAGTAGTCGTGGCGCACAGGCTTCGTTGCTCCACAGCAGGTGGGATCTTCCCAGACCACGGCTCGAACCCGTGCCCCCTGCATTGGCAGGCAGATTCCTAACCACTGTGCTACCAGGGAAACCCCGAGCCTTGCTTTTATATTTGGTTTTATCCTTAATCTGTCCCTGGAATTTTGAGATTTGAGGCTTCCTAGGTACTGGAGCACTTGAGAGCACTTTTGGTTGGAGGGACTGTATAGGGCAACAAATATTTACTGAGTGCCCACTCAGCGGTAGGCACCGTGATCCGTGCTGTGAAGTTGAATGAGAAACTGCCCCTGCCCTCAAGAAACATAAAGTGATAAAAGCCTATGCAACGTGCCAAGGGCCTAACACAAAGCCACGAAGCCCAGCCTGCTAAGGGGATCAGGGAAGGCTTCCTGGATGAGGGGTATACCTAGGCTGAGTCTAGCATTACTAGCAGGAAGTTGGCTTCACAATATAGAAGCCAAGAGAGTTAAAGAAGGATCATAGAGTAGAGGGACTTTTAGATCATACAGAGCTTCTGGTGGAGTAGAGCCCACCTTAGGGTGTTCTCCAAAAGCAGACTTGTCTTGATCATGGAATGTAAGCTCCATGCAGACTTGCTTTCCCAGTCTCCTGGATCCTCTGAATTCAGCATAGTGCCTGGAACATATTCAGGTAAGTGGGAAATGACTCCAGGGAAAGAGATTCGCCATTGAGCCCCTGCAGTAGTTGAATATTCATACTATAAAACTCTTCAAGGCTCATAGTGAGGATAGTGGTGGGGTCTTATCCCAGAATGTAGCTTTTTTGGGTCACCTTGAGTATGAATTTATCCCTGCATTCCCGGCACATGGCCTAGAGCTTGGTGCACTGTCAGTAATTGATAAAACCTGCTGTCTTTCCTTTCTTGGTGTGTATTTGGCCTGCCTTTCACACACGTGATGAACTACTTGTAGAACAGGCATCCCGAGCCCCCGGGAGGTGTTGGGCACTTCTCTGGCTAGTTTTGCTGCTGCTAGAGGGGAGCCCTCACCCCCAACCCCGGCTCCCCATGCCATGTCTCTTTGTGGAGGAACATCTGTGGGATAATGCCCTGAGCTTCTGTCCACCCTTTCCTCATTCCCTTCCAGCAGAGGAAGGCATTTCAATAAAATCCTGTTCTAACATGAATTTGGAGAGCATGCAAACCGGGGTAGGCTTGTTGGCATCTGTCCTCCACCTGTTTCCTGTTTTCAAGATTCTAATGTTCTCTGATGGGAGGGGGAGACGGGGGTAAGAAGTGACCATTTGGAATCCATTGAGGGTTTTCTTGGTTCAGTGTATAGTCACTCGGGAACATTAAGTGTCACTCCCTTAAACTTTGTGCTTTTTCAATAGTCCAAACTGAATAAAAGATAGTATTTCTTACTAACCCTGCAATAACATGGTCATGCATTTTACTCATTTTAAATTTTTGGCCCGCACGTATGTTACGGCATGTGATATCCAACGGCTCACTTTCTCAAAGAAGAGCAAGTCCATCAGAAGGCTGTGAGCTGCGAAGATTTGTGTTCTTTTTCTTCCCTCGCTGCCCAGGATCAGTATAAGGTAATGGTGACCCAACGTCCAGACGGGGAAAGGGAGTAGAACAGACTCAGCTCTGAAGTCACTATCTTGTCAGTAGTAAAGCTAACACCTTCATTTCCCTTCTGTATCTTATCTTGAGTTGGTTCTGAAGGTGGAAAGGGAAGAAAGCACATTATTTGTCACCCTCCCCCAACCCTTATTCCCAGGAGATCCTAAGACTCATTTGTTCTCAATGGACTAACATCACACACAGAGCTGGGACATTCGCTCTCACAGATTAATTGGCCCATCCATTTTCTCTTGTCTCTGTGTATGTTGCGCATTTTATTGTGTCATTGTAGAGTCAGGAGATAAAGCAACTGCAGACATCATTTATGATTTAAACGGCAGTTCCAGTTGGGTAACATTTTAATTGGCGTCGTTGGGCCATTTGCCACATGCAGGTCTCTGCCCAGCAGCCTGCCTTTTCCAAGCAGCTGTAGGCTTGTTTTCAAGCCAGAGAGAATGTCTGCTCTCACGGAGGCCTATTGGTTTCATTTGCCTAAATAGAAGTGGATGATGGCTGAAATGTGGCTGATTTTAGCAATCAGAGGGTGTACAGGTAAGCATCCTGGAAGCACTGGGATACAGGTGTGCTTGTTTCTGACCCCTTACATCGGTACAAAACAGACTATTAAAACAATGCCCTCTCGATTGCCATGTACTCACTGCCATATTTAACATGAATAACCAACAAGGATCTACTGTACAGCACAGGGAACTCTGTTCAATATTACATAACAACCTAAATGGGAAAAGAATTTGAAAAAGAATAGATACATGTATATGTATAACTCAATCACTTTGCTGTACACCTGAATCCAACACAACATTGTTAATCAATTGTACTCCAATAAAGAATAAAAAGTTAAAAAAAAAAAATGCCCTCTCAGGTTTGTTGCCTACAGACCTGAGCCTTGTTGTTCACAAGACTTCTAGGAAATATAGGAATAAAGGTATAAAATACATTTCTATTTTGTATTTATGTTCAATATATCAAATATATCACCTTTATTGATAAGCATGATCTAGTTGTAAAACAAATAAATAAAAACATCCTTTAACTCCATATTCTTCTGCAACTAACCCTTCATTTCTTTTTTTCTTGAAAAAGACTCCTCAAAAGCACTGTCTTTATTTGTCTCAAATTCCTCTCCTCCATTCTTTTCTGAATCAAATTATGTTGGGCAGCCTCTGAGATCGTCCCCAATGGCCCCATCTCCTGCTCTTCATGCCCTTGTATAATTCCCTCCCCTTGAGTGTGGACTGGGCCTGTTGAATTTCTTCCAATGAATACAATACAGCAAAAATGATGGGATGACATATGAAAAGATGCTCCCTGTTTTATATCACTAGGGAATTGCAAATTAAAACAGCAATGAGGTACCATTATATATCTATTAGAATAGCTGAATTCCAAAATACTGACAACACCAAATGGTAGTGAGGATGTAGAACAATAGGAACTCTCAGTCGTTGCTGGTGGGAATGCAACATGGTACAGCCACTTTGTAAGACAGTTTGGGACAGAGAATAATTGCAGATGAGCTTTGTTTAGTTGTATACTTATGGGATTGTTCAAATCAACATTGCCAAGTTTAAGTTTCAAGAGGTAGAAATTATGACCGCTTAATTTCTGCATGTAAGTTCCAGGCTGCCTGAACCTCATGTAGGAGGTTGCTCATACATGCCTTTCGTACGAATGATGATAAATATGTGAAGCCGCTTGACTGCAATGTCCTTTCTGATTAACACATATTTATGACCCACATTTGGAAGCCTGGAGATTGCTGCCAGGCCCATCCAAATCTGTGCTGGGTAACTGAATGCAGCCATGCCACAGACAGCTTCTCCTAAATCATGCTTTAAGCTTTAGAAAAATGGTAATGGAACAGTGCATAATCCTTTTGGTCTCTCCAGCGATGTACTTAAACATGTGTTTCCTTCCTACCCTTTGCCGTGACTAAACATCTGTGCAACCATGACCGTACCATCTTAAAGGAAAGCAACAGATCCTTTTAGCTTCTCTTGCTGTTCATCCTGTGTCCTCTCTCCTCTCCTTCCCAAAGTAGCCTTCGAGTGGGGGGCAGCAGCATCACAAATACTCAGTCGAGAGCAGAGTCAGTCTAGATTTTTTCCACTGCTGATCTGCATTCCCTTACGAGCCCGTGTTCTGCTAGATAGGGCTCGAGGTGCCAAGGGGGTTTTACATTTTAGTCGAGTCAAGTAAATTTACTCAGATTCAATCATTTAAACAGGCTTTTAGGGGGAATGTTGAGTCTATTTTTGTAGAAAGACCCCGTCTTTCTGGTTTCTGATCCCCTTCCCTTCTCTCCATGGCGCCTGGTGAATGCATGTGGGGAGGTGCTTATGGCCCAGGAAGGGAGGCAGATGACACAGATGGATCTTCTGCATTGCAGCTGGCCTTTGCTTGGACAGTGACCACTGTAATGGGACTGTTTCTAGCCCTGGTCTTCTCCGGGGTTTGCTGTTGAAGACCTGGGACCTGGTCACTCATGATCATACTTGCCTGTGGCTTGGCCAGGCCTTGGGAATCTGCCCTGGTCAACTCCAATGGCACCTGCCCTGGCCACCCTGTTCCAAGCCCAGCCCCGTCTCCCCACTGCTTTCTATTTTTTTTTTTTAAAGAACACCGCTTTCTATAAAATAGAAATAGATATATCTATAGTAGAAATAGATAGCA